TTACATCATCCAACAAGGCTCAACCAAGCTTGGGACTCAGGACAGCCTACAGAGTTGCCCCTGAATGGCCCCATGGGAGTCTGACAACCAATCAGAATACAAGCTCAAATTCAAAAGCCCAGAGAGGGTATAGAGCTCAGGCACTCTCAGCATCTCTTCCTTTTTTCCCCCTTCACCCAACATCTTCAAGCCATGTGGTCCTTTCCGCCATTAAAATCTTCTTTCCCAGCAACTTCCAGGAATCCAGTGTCTTTTTCTCACTTGGAACTGAACCCAGATGAACATTCTTCCAACAATCAGTATTCTAAATATAGGTAGTCCTTGACTTACGAACATTTGTTGAGTGACTGAAGTTTCATTGGCACTGAAAAAAGTAACTTAGGACTGTTTTTCACACTTACAACTGTTGCAGCATCCACATGGTCAGGTGATGAAAATTCTGGCACTTGGCAACCGATTCACGTTTATGACGGTTTCAGTGTCCCGGAGTCATGTGATAGTCTTTTGTGATCTTTTGACAAGCAAAGTCAATGGGGAAGCCAGATTCACTTAACAACCGTGTAACTAACTTAACAACTGTAGTGGTTCACTTAACAACTGTGGCAAGAAAGGTTGTAAAATGGGGCAAAATTCATTTAACAACTGTCTCGCTTAGCAATAGAAAATCTTTTTTAAAATACCACCACCACTAACCCAAGATTTTACCTTTGACCGAATTTACATTTTGGTGAATAGAAAGAATCTAGATTGGATTTAGGGAATTACTGGTAGTATGAGGTTAATTTATAACACATCATATATGCTAGATGTTAACCTAGTCTTCCTACCATTTTCTAGAAAAATCAATTAAAATAAGAAAAGAGAACAAGAAGCAATGCATGGAAACTAATCAAGGAGAGAACTAACATAGAACTAAGGAGACATTTTCTGACAGTTGGAACAATCAATGGAATGACCTGCCTGGAGAGGTGGGTGAGATTTTTAAGAAAAGATTGGACAACCATTTGTCTGAAATGATATATGGGTTCCTGTTATTTCCACCCAGGGGGGAGTTGAACTACAAGACATCCATGGTCCCATCCAACTCTGTTATGCTGTTATTCTATTATTCTGTTACATAGTTTGAAATCTCAATCCTCTTAACTTTGAAATGGATCTTGGCTCTATTAGTAGACATGACTGATTTCAATGAAGTCTAAATGTAAAAAATATAATCTGGATCCAAGTACATTACTTCCACAATTCAGTATGTAGGAAACAAAGAAATGAGAGAAACTGAAAATGGAACTCACCTCCACCACAAGCCTCAGAACATTCAGTGAAGCCTTCATATTCCCAATCGTAAAGTTCATCAAAATTTTGTGAGCCCCTAAACAGGAGATCAGTCTCTTCACCAGTTTCTCCGTTGCATGGACCACCATAGCAAGCTCGTTCGGACACTGGTTTGGGCCCTTCACATTCATCAATGGGCAAATCAGCCACAGACTGAGAGAAGGATAGCAGCACCTGACACTTCACCAGCCGCACCTGGACACCCACTCCACAGGTCACACTGCAGGCAGACCAGTCCTCAGGAATAAACCTGTGAAGGTGAAACCATTGTGAGAGGAGAAAGACAGAACATAAGAGTGTCAGAGTTTGTTGCATTAATTCAAATCCAGAAGCACACACAGATAACTGATGCAGCAGGATTCATTAACTTCTTTATGTACATAAGAATAGATGAATATATGTACAATACCAACAGGTGGTTCTTCAAAGTAAACACAAGGCAGGAGAGTTACAGGGAAACACAAGCAGTTAGTTTATTCAAGCAGACAAACCCAGACAGACTGCTTCTTTACTTTTCAAAGCATCAGAGTGCTTAAGTTTCTATTTCAATTCTCTGCACAGACTCAGAAGGTTGCATGACCTGGCTCCGAGCCGTCTGGCATGGCTCTCAGTCACCAAATAATTCCCATTGGCTGTCCCAGTTGCACAGCCTATTCATTGACTGACCTTGTTCCCATGTCTCTGCCAGTCATGAATATTTTAACAAAGAGTAATCTAAGGGCTGCTCAGGCACACTTCAAATCATTCACTTCCCCCTCTCCTCAAGTGATGAAACTACAGAAATGTCTATGGAGATTCTGAGTCATCCAGGTCATGGTT